CAGCCGGTGGATGATAAGACTTTATCTAAGTTGGTTGATAAAACGGTTCGTTTGAAGTTACTTATGGTGCAAGGTACTGGTAAAAAGTATCTGGAGGATAGCTTATTGACTTGGTTCTCAACAAGGATATGAGGGTTTTGAGGTGTAGGGTTCTTTGGTTTGGGGTTTTTCTCTATTTGGATATTGTCTATACACTTCCCTGATTATAGACTTTTTACTCTTTTTCCTAATCAAAGTTTTGTCCCATTTGGGTTTTCTTTGATTAGGAGGAAAATTCTATAATCCTTCCAAGCTTGACTTGTTCCACATGGTCAAGCTTGAGGGGGAGTGTTGTGATGATGGTTTTTAGTCTTTTGTTTGTAAGTTTCTTTGTTGTTCTTGAAAAAACTGTTGCACTTGATGTAATTACTGTTTGATTGAATAAATTTCACATTCATTCAAAAAAAAAAAAAAAAAGTGTTTGGAGACGGGTTGTGTTAGGCGATTCCCTAGCTCTTCTTAGTTTTAACATTTAAGATTGGTCTGTAATATGTTCTCCTACTCCACCATTTTGTGAACCACTGCTAGAGAAATATAAAAATATGTATTAAGATAACGTTCTATATATTTGTTGCCAAAATGGTATATGTGAAGAGGCCATCAAGTGAGGCTTTGAGCTTATGCAGGTACTTACTATAAGTGTTGGTTTTGTAGAGATGTATTATTTGTAACGTTTGGGGCTACTAACTGGCTGTATTCCTTTAAAGATCCTTGGTGCCATCAAGTAATTATAAATCACTAAACATGTGCACACGATATTTTAATAATACTGTCTTAGTCAAAACCTGAAAAGAGAGGAGGGAAAAGTTAAACCAATATTTTGGAAATTCTTGAAAATGTTTTGGAAAGAACGAAACATAAGCCAATAAGCAGTGAATAAAATTTCCCAACAATGAGACACAAAGAGAAAACTCAAATCTCAGGCATTATCAGGAGGTTTCGCTTCCATTGATAATTGGCCTTTTAGCCACTTATGTTCTCAAGTGGCGTTGCACAAAAAAAAATGTCTTCAAGTGTACATGTGCACATGCCACGACAGTTTTTTTTTGAAATAAACTCATACTATAGCAGTGATATGTTTTGGAAATAAAATGTACAGCAGGAAATGATAATCTACGACGGTTTAAGACTTGCGTCAAGTTTATGACACATGTTATGAAGATTTTTTATGAGTCAAGGACTTAACTGTTATAAAGTGGTACATAAAATAAGCGACTAAATTGAACCTTCAAGTCAGAGCCTCCACCAAGTGCTAAAGGTAAGAGTTGTTATTTATATACTTGTACAAAGAAAGATTGCTTGAGAAAAACGAAATTTTTATTAAAAAAAATGAAAATCCCAACATAACGGGTGGGAATGAGTTGTAGTCCTGTTTTATTATTATGCTAAATTTGAGAAAAACTCCAGCGTAGCTGTAGTCGACATAAGGGTCATAGACTCCCTTGAGATTTTATTGATGCGTGCCTTCTTTACAGAGTGTCCATCCTCCATAACTGTTGGCTCCTCTGCAGTCATTTCAGGACCGACAGGTCAAGCACGTAGTAGAGCTGCCTCACCTCTGTTTTCTTTAACCATACCATGACTATTGAACCTTCTAACGGTCACAGAAACACTGTTTTCTTTATCCATACCATAACTATTAAACCTTCTACTGGTGACAAAAACACTACACTGTTGAACACACCATGAGTGGGATTTGTTGTAATGGATGCAGCTCCCGCAATATCATCCCCGGGGTTGTCATTACCATTGAAAATATGCAAGCCACATAAGGAGGATAAAGACGGAAGTTGTTAGTTTTTGAGCTCACCTGGACCGCAAAATTAGCTATCGCTAGTTGCTGGTGACAACTGAAAATGCGTGAGACAGGGAAAGAATGATGTTTAAAAGAGGAATTGAATTTCTAAAGCGGTGCACGTCCTGCCTACAATATCTTGGAGGCCTTGTGAGAGGGCCCTGACATGTGAGTCTTTAATGCCTACGTTCTGTGGTATCATAAAAAAATGTCAAAGTAAACACCTTCAAAAATCATGAGAAGATATACAAAGAGATAAGGGGTTATTCGGTGACTGATACCATGACCAGTGACAATTCTGCAGCACAACGATTGGTCAATTTTCCTATCTCGCGGTCAAAGGCAACAAACACTGCAGAGTCAGGCCCATCTGAGATAAATCATAAAGGGTCATAAGTTGACGTTAGTGTGCTAACCTGCAGCGGTGTATTCAGCACTTAGTATTAAAGCTTCAATATTGTTATAGAAAAACCTTATTCACTGCTACAAAGCCTAGGGTAAGGAATGCGTCAGAGGGGTTTTATGCGCTAACTCATAACCCTTTGAGGTAACTCTGACCGGCTGTACTCTGAAACAAATGGCGTGAGTTAATATAGGAAAGAGATTCCACTAAGAGAGATGCTCAAAGTATAAACGACGTGATGACTAGGCCAGAAAACTTGCTCTATATGAGCTTTTGCGTACATGCAAGCTTTAAGAAACTAACTAATTAGAAATTGCAAAGTCCAAACAAAAAAAACATAAACAGAAACGCAGAACATGTGTGTGGGGATATATTCTATCTCCTACTAATTTAAGGTTGATGTTCATCACTAAATAACCTAAGGCTCAATACCAGACGATACTAATTTATTATGGAGAAGCATGGAAAGTCCGTCAAAAACACTAAGACAAACAGTGGTGTCCCTGCATAGTGGAAGCATGGAATGTAAAACATTTTGATATCTTGAAGCTAACCTTTGTCTTAAAAAGGTTAACAAAATAAAGATGATGTCATTGTTATGAACCTTTGACTTCTTATATTAGGCATAGTCAATTGAGTGCTGGGTTTCCTCATTGTAAGTGGTTTTAGTACCCCTCACGTCACCAAAAATATATGCAACCAAAGAATTGTAGTAAAGATAATTTCAGGTGGGATGAAAATTATTTCTCGGAAATGGCTGAGAAGAAGCGAAAGAGAAAGTGAAACACACCTGGAAAATCTGTGTTCGTATTAGCCAACAACATGAGTTGTTCGTAATCACTAAATATGTAAAGCTCCGCAGGGAGAGGGTTCATGGTTTCTGCTATCTCGTCAAATTTTGTATCTGCGTGAGCAAATTCTGAAGTTTTGGCTGCTTCTGGTAACACCAAAATATCTATTTGAGGTAGGGTTATGTAGACTCAAATATTTGAAACTCCAAAAGATTCTACTCTATATCGTCCTTGGCCGAAAGGTGAGAACGATTATTGTGGGAAGCGAAGAGGCCGATTGAATGCTTCCCGGTAGGAGGACTGGGCTAATCACGCTAAAATCCAGAGTTAAACACCAAGTAATGAGAGGCCAAAATGTTATGGAGATCGGAACGGCGCTTTAGGTCTGCAAGTTTCGTCGGATTATTCAGAAAGTTGCATGTCGAGAGAGGAAGATCAAACCTAATACACTGGTGGGCTTGGCTTAATGTTCCTACAGGCCCAATCAGAAGATCAATAACCAAACCAACTAACACACGAAATACGAATTGGTTTGGTTTGAAGAATCGCTGACGTGTCTTTTTTTGCCCTATGCTAAAATCTGATGTGGCACAAGGAGAAGAGAGAAAACTTGGCTTTATTATATAAGATATATATACGACGTACGTCAAAACATAATGAGTTATTAATAGATGAACCATGAGTTTTGTCCACCCATACAGACATAATTTTCTTAAGAATATTTATTAATTTATATTATATTAATTAAAAACAGCATAATAAATTATTATTATTTCGATTAATCATCAAATTAATTACAAATGACAACACACATATCAAATATATTTACACAAAGGTTTTTAGCATAATTTATATTTGATTATAATTTTTAAATTTTATAAGAGAAAATATATCTTCAAGGTAACAACATAATACATAAGAATTATCTTATTTTCTAAAAATATAACATTATTAGTATAAATTCGTTTTAATTATATAATAAATTATATAAGACTATTAAAAATATGAAAAAATAAATTACCTAAAATCATGTAGAAGTTGACAAATATTTATTCTTTTATGTTTCATTAAAACCAACATAATTAAAAATAAACAAAATTAACTAAAATCATGGAGAAGTTAACAAATACTTATTATTTTATGTTTTATTAATCAAAAGCATATTAAGTTATTATCTATATTTTCAAAATTCTAAATCAAATATCAAATTAATTATAAATGACAACACTCACATATCAGAAATATTTTAGAAAATATATTTATACAAATATCTTTTTGATTTATATTTAATTATAATTTTATATCTTAGTTTTTCATATTTTACAGAAGTTATATTTTCGGGATAATAACATAATACAGAAGAATTATCTTATTTTCTAAAAATATAATAATATTAATCATTTTAATTATATAATAAATTATAAAATTATCAAAACATGAAAGATAAGCAAAATTACCTAAAACCATGGAAAATTGCCAAATCATCAAATTTACTTGTCAAATTATAATATAGATAGATGGTTGAGAAATTACAAAATTTTGAGACTTATTTGTTAGTGGTTTATGAATTTTGTCACATTCAACATTTTATTCTTAATTTTAGGTAATATAAACTTACCTTCTAAGAAATGTGACTTTTATAATTTTAAATGCCCTCTTATATATAAAAATCTTGTATGTTCTTTCTAAAAGCATGACTTGTATATGTTCTCTTAAATTAGTTTAACATGGTCATTTAAATTATAATTATAATCTTATTATAAAAGGGTATCTAAAATTTTTTAAGCAATAACTCATATTTTTATACATAGCAGAAGAAGCTTAATATTAACAATTTAATTTGACTCTAGCAAACTTTATCTATGTCCGTCACTTTGTATAATCATCCCTATTTAAGACCCAGATGAGCTTATAGCCTTACCTAAATAATCTAGACACTAAAGATATAAAATAAAAACGTAAATAATAACCTATGGATATGTCAACTGAGACGGCGGAGATCAGCACTCTCCGGCAACCGTTAGTGGATCAGACGAACTCTGAGCGAAAACCACCGAGAGACAACGGATCACTCGAGAGCGTCTTAACGGACAGTAGCCTTCCGTCCCGGAGGCGCTTGTACTTAGGTGCGTGCATAGAGATGAAACTTCTTTTCCGGTTGGCGCTTCCGGCTATATTTGTCTATTTGCTGAACAGCGGCATGAATATATCGACCCGTATCTTTGCCGGACATCTCGGCAGTCAGGAACTCGCCGCCGCGTCCATCGGAAACAGCTGCTTCAATCTTGTATATGGCCTAATGGTACGTTTTACATGATCGTGCAGACTAGCACACATATTTGGAGGCACGTTGATATTAGTTATATAGTAATAATTGTTTTTTTCTGCAGTTTGATATATATATATATATATATATGCGAATTATAGTAATAGTTTTATTAGAGGCGTTAAATATTGGTAGTTGGTACCATAAAAATACTAACATCATGACTCATTGACTCTTATAGATCATTCTTTTAGATGAAAAAAGTCTTTTATTTATTTATTGGCAGATGAAAAAGTCTAGCAATAAAACATTATTATTAGAACTCATAATCAAATTATCACCTTCCCTAAAAATTTGTAGACTAGAAGCAGAAAAGACAAAGTTCAAACTTTTTTATTATGGAAAGTTCAAATCTTCCACACAGATTTTTTTATGGTACGAACCAACGTTTTTTGTTATCATACGAACCAACTAAGCTATTGAGTTTTTGTTGTTGTAAAATAACTGACAGAAGAACATCCATAGTAATGAGTTTCTTAAACTTAGTTTCTACATATTAATATAATATTTTTAGGTAAGCTAATTACATAAATTAAATTTGTTGTTTAAAAAAAGTTCAGCCAAGAGAGAAGCAGAAACGCAATGATTTGAAAAGTTTTTCTGCCAAAAAAAAAAACTATTAGTGATGGTCTAGCTTGTAAGAAAGTGAAGCTTTGAGATTGAAGAACAAGAGAGAGATGAGAGAAAAGAGTAAAGAAGGAGAAACTTTTTCCTTAGATCTCAAAAATAACGTTACAAAGAGTTATAAAGAGTTAGAGTATTCTTATTCTAGTAGCCAAACACACTTGGCTTACTAGAGAAGCTAGAATAAATAACTAATTTATTTATTTAATTTAATACTCCCCCTCAAGCTTTGCCATGCCTAATGGTAAAGCTTGGAACCATGAAAACATCCCTCGTTAAAACCTTTTGTATAGAAAAACCCAATGGGACAAAACCACACAAAGGAAAAAGAGTAGATGTTTCATGGCTTAAGGAGATCATGATCTATCAAGGTCTATGAGTCCTAATCTCGGATGAATGAACTCACAGACTTTACTACTTGCTCCTTTGGTAAAGATATCAGCCAACTGGTCTTCACTTCTAGTGTAGCAAGGTAGGATAATTTTCTGCTCTACGGCTTGTCTCACTTTGTGGCAATCCACTTCAATATGCTTTGTCCTTTCATGAAACACTGAGTTTGAAGCAATATGAATGGCTGCCTGGTTATCACAATGCATGGTAATTGGCGTTGATGTTTCTATGCCCAAGTCTCTTAGCAAGTTTCTGATCCAAATGAGTTCACTAGTCAGTTTCCTCATTGCTC